CNCACGCTCTGCTGTCCTGTTCTGCATCAGGGACATGATTATTTAGTAAGAATACAGGAATGTCGTCATATGATGTTCGATTGTACGACCACCGTGACCCACTACATCGTCATCTCGCGTTTCGGCCAAAAAATTAAAACTCACCGTCGCGAGCTTCCACGACCAAAAGCAACGCAACTGTAGGATAAATGAGAGCGCGTGCAGGTAAGAGGAAGGAACACGTCGCCACTGAAAACCACTAATCTGCGGACGACGTAAACCACAAAAGGTTCGCATTCCATGAAAACGCACGAGGAACGTTTTCAAAAAGAGTCCTCGAGAGCAAAACAGTTGTACTCTACTGGTTCAAACGAGGCGAAATCAAAATTGAACAAGCAACGCCAGCAGCCCGGTAATGAAATTTACGTACACGTCCTTGCCGCTACACATCTATCGAGCAGCTCGAAGCACACCTCACAGCCAAAACCTAAGAACAGGACGTTCATATGTCTAAAGGCAGTGTTCCCAAACAAAGAAATGGAGATAAGACATGCGCCAGCCGTTCGACTGTACGGAAACGGTACGAAAATGCTATAGGCGCCCACATGTTTCCCTGCAAAAAAAGTTTAACAAACAGATTACCTGGTCCCGGGCCCCCATCGTAAAGATCAAGTGGCCAACTGGGGGGGAACCGTTAACCGACCGTGTCTGTTCATGTCACAACAGAAAGTGTTGTGCAATCCTCATCTGCGCTTTTGCTGCGATACACCGCGCATTGTATTGTGTGGCGTGGAATCCGTACATACATACATACACACACACGAAGAGCACGCGCGAAGAGCCACTAGGCTGACTGACACAGGCCCGCCGCGTATTCGGGGAAAGGTGTGAAACGTATGAAACGTATTTGTTTCCGTTTCATGCTTTTATTGACGTCTGTCTGCTACTATGACTGCTACTGCTACTGCTACTGCTGCTATTGGTTGCCGCCGGGGCCGTCGTCTCCCGTGCTGCAATAGTGCAATACTGTTGCGAGTGGCATCGGCACATGCCCGTAGAAACAGAGCATTGTGTGTCGGTATGTGTGCGTATCAAACACGGGTCAAGGACACAGACAGACAGGCAGACAGACAGACAGACAGACAGGCGCGTATATCGCTGCAAAAGACCGAGGATGTAATCCTCGGTAACATTTCAGGTGTGTCCCCCAATCCATAACATTACGTAAAAAAACAGGGTGTCGTACACCGTGTACGACAATCCGTACCTCGTTTGGACGAGGTGAGGGTGCGCACCGCGGCTGCCTGCGTTTCCCTATTAGACCCCTCTTTCCTTCCACACCCCTCAGCTTCCGTTCTCCCAGGCCCCCTAGGTCCTCTCCCCGTCCCAGGACGTGTGCACGTCGTGGTGACGTAATAACACGTGCGGTGTATAGCCGAGTCCAGTTCTTCCTCTCGCATCCCTAAACACAACACAACACAAAACCACACAACAGGAAAAAAAACCCTCAGGCTGCAGCTGTCACATCTCCTTTCAAACCACACACGCTTACCAAGCCTTGAGACACACACATCCCCGTACGCCGTACGGCACCCTACGCCGTTACCCTCGCGCGCGCCGCTGCCGCGGCTGGTGGCCCAGCGGGCGCCGCCGCTGCTGCTGCTGCTGCTGCACCTAGTGCCACTCAAATTAAAGCCCCGATGCGCCGCTCTTAACGTACCAAGTGTTTCCACGCGACTCGCAAATGTCTTTTACCACCTTGTTATACTGAGATTCCGAAAAAGTCATGTTGTTAGTCCGCGCCAAGTCGTTAAATTCCGACCGCTTGAAAGACTCCTTGCCCTCTAGAAGCTCAAGAACTAACTTCCGAAGCGGATCGGTCTTCTCGTCTCCCGTTTTAGTAAGCACATACACGCGGTACATGGATACGACATTGCCCAGCGAAAGTACGGCATCGTGGAGGGCCTTATCCGCCAGAAGCGCTGCTTCCTTCGCCGCCGCCGCTGCTGGGCTGCTATCCAACCAAGACCGTACGTTGGCCATGCTGCAGACGGAATGCTCCTTGAAGAGAGCTCTGAGGACGGTGGGAAGAGCGGCGCGAGCGGCTTCGGAGAGCTGACCGGCGCCGCCGCCAGCGCCGCCGGGCAGGAGCGACGGTGCTGCAGCGGCTCCGGGCTGGCCAGACGCGGCGGCAGCGGCTGCCGCACCGCCGCCAGCAGCACCGGGGGCTGATTGAGAGCCGGGAGGAGGGACGATGGTGCGCAGATAGGTTTTTCGGTCGACCTTGCTAGCCGCGTGATCCACGTCCTTGGCGGACATGAACATGTCCCAGATGCGCACCGCAGCCTCGCTTTCCTCGCCATGCACGCTGAGGTTTACAAAGGCCTCCTCCTCCTCCTTCTGGGTGATGTAGGCATAGGAGTTCTTGCGCGCCTGCGCCTGGCGCTCGGTCTCGCGCTTCTGGACCTGCACCTCCACGGCGTGCAACTTGGGCTCGTCTTCCTCCTCATCCTCGCTATCGTCTTTGCCTTTACCCTTCGCGTTGTTGGTGACGTTTAAATGGTGCAGCGTCGGGCGCATCTGAATTGCGAAATCCAGCGGCGCGATGAGGAGCTTTCCCCCACGGATGGTGCCAACGGCCATGTTGGTACGTTCTTCCGCGAGCGTTGAGCGAAGCGTAAAGCATTTGACCTTTTTTATATCTTCTATGATGTCATTGTAATTACGAGACTCCGTATCGAGCGGCAGGTCTATCTCCATTCGCTTTGCCTGCGGCTTGAAGCGCATGGCCTTTACCTTGTCGTAATCGTAAGGACGCCATGGAGGTCGTAGTGGATGCTGCAGTAACCCTAACTGGGTCTTGGAGCCGGCAAATTCATTGCACACGTACACGTCAAGCTCACGGACTATCGGATCATGATCGTCAGCATCCATGGCGTAGATCCTTCATAAAAACTAGGTCTGACCTAGCTTTTCTGTGTGGAAACATTTTGCCTGTTTCGGCTTGCGGCCGTACTGGCGGCACTTGGCTCCGAAACCATTCCAATACCTGATCACCTATTCCCGCGCGACCGTCAGCTTCATCGAATGCCGGCAAGGAAGCCTTCTCTCTTCATTTGAACATCCATGACTGGAGACACCAAGTTTTGTTCAATCAGTGCGTGCGGAGTCCTGAGTCCTTGCAACTCGTCACGCAGTTGCCACAGCAAACTCCAGTCCCCCACCGAAGCTTCGCCTGAGTATCTCGCAGACAGGCCCCCACCCTGCCCCGGGCCCCGCATGGCCGTGCCCTGCATGCGGAGGGTTGCTGAGGGCAATCACCATACCTGTGTCAAATTATAACTGCATGGGCCTGGGTATCCAACATACCTGCTAGCCAACCCTAATCCTATGGTCCCCTGCAATCCTTGTGCACAGTTGTTGTTGATCACCTTCTTGCGCATCACTTTAGCAAAAGGACAGCAGGCACTCACCTGCTGCGCTGCCGCGCCGGTCGCACCTTTGCAGAGAAACCTAGAGCGAGTCCCTATCCCGCTGAGCCGCGATTCCTTTGCCTTCTCCATCTTGTATCGGCTTCATCCATCTCCTAATTCCCCCTAATCTGTGCCCCCACCTGGAAGGGGTCAACAATTTGCCAAACTGTGCGCTCGCCAAAACAAGGGACCGTGCGTGTTTTGCGTGCGTATGCCTGTGTTTTCCCGAAGTGTGTGTTCCCCCCCCTTCCGCCCTCCTAAACAAGTGAGGGGTTCATCCAGACCAGAGGCCAGCCCACGCCACCCATCCTGCCGCTGACGCCAGTGCCCTCTGTTACTCCACCCGCCCACACCACCTTACAGCACCGCCATACAGCACCACCAGCAGAATGAATCCAAGCTCGGACAGACCGACAGACGGACGCTGCGAATAGACAGACAGGCAGACAGACGCTGCTTTTCGTACCCGACGGGTACGACAATTCCAATCAGAACACCAGGAAGGCCCCAAAAAAAGCAGTACGTCACAGTACGAACAAGAGTCGTACGTCCCAGGTATGTGCACCTCGCGAGCCAGTTGTAAATCCCTCCCCTGATATCGCACTACTCCACCGTGGACTGTGCACACTTCACGTCCTGGTCTAGTCTTCCCTTCCCTCCCCCCTTTCCCCTTCCCCATCCCCTTCCGCCCTAACACCACACCCTTCTCGTTACCCCACTCACTGCCACAAAATAAAACCCTAAGAAACCTTTACATATCAGTAACTGTAACCGTGTTTCCCGTATGTACCGCTAGGTAGGTTGTATCTTATTTTGGACACACGTCGTATATGCGCTACGCGGGCAGAAAGACGGGGCTGGGCAGGGAGGCAGGGAAGTGGCGAGAAGAGAGAGGTGGAAAGAGAGGTGGAGAGGAGGAGGGGAGGCCGCCCATCATCGTCCTGCGATACACACGACGGGGTGGTTGCTACGACCCGCCTTTTCCCCCCAGCATCTTCCCGCCTGTCCTAGGAGCCAGATTGGAAGTCAACCTGCGCGGGGCGGACCGACCCGCGCTAATGGGCCGGGCCGCCAGCCTGCTACTGCCAGCGGCATCTGCCGCTGCTGCGGCAGTAGCCGCACCGCTACCACCACCCGGTGAGCCGGTGTCGCGGGGCGATGCAGCCACCCGCGGCGAGCCCGATGCGGCAGGTGAACTCGCCGCCGCTATCGCTATCACCGACGCCGGGGAGCCGGCGGCTGTAGCTGTTGCTGCCGACGGGGAGTTGATCGCGCTGACGGGGCTGCCGCCGCCTCCGGACCCCGCTGCTTTCTTGGCGAGTAGCGCCGGCTTGTGTGTCGCAAAGCCACCCCCTGCCGTACCGGCGCCAGGGGCAGCAGCCGGCGGTCTGCCGGGCATCGCCACGCGCAGTCCTCCGCCGGCACCGCCCCCGCGTCCCGCCGCCGCCGCCGCCGCCACGCTGCTTCCCGTCGCTGGGCGCGAGCTCGGAGTCGCTGCCGTTAGCACTGCCGCGCCGCCGCCCCCGGCTGCAGGAGCTTTCCCCACACTGTACAACGGCGACCGCACTTCAACGTCGTACTCGTCGTACTCGTCGTCGTCATCGCTGCCACGACCCCGGCTAGCAGCAGCCGCGCCGCCGACACGGCCGTTGGCCATCGCCGCCGACGGTGACGCCTTCGGGCCTGAGGCCTTTGGACTAGGGCCGGCACTGACGCTACCGCCTCCGCCGGCAGTGCCGGCAGTGACCGCAGCGTCGCCGCCACTGCCGCCGCCGTTGGCCCCTCCAAATAACCGCTCAAACATTTGCAACGCTTCCTCTCGCTTGTCCACCTCCTCGCGGTCCTCCGCGCCCAGCAACGCCAGGTTGGCATTACGTGGCCGGGCGCCGTACTCGGGCGCCAGCGGCATGGCGGGCAGTTGCGTGGCTGTACGGCGCGTAGTGATGCCAAGGGTTTTAGCAAATTATGCATATCTCAGGTGGTCAAAATTACAACACTGAGGTACGTAATACAGCAGAGAATTTGTTAGGGTTGCGCTTGCAGGGCCGTAGCTGTTTAACCTGCACGCTTGTATACAAGTTCGCAGTTCGCAGTTCGCAGTTCCAAGTTCCGCACACACGTGCGGGGGGTGTCCGTAAAAGCCGGGGGAGGGGGCCACCCACATGGACGTTGGGACATAGGACCCGGGGGAGGGACCTCGGACTGCGGCGCTGCAAAGGTGCGGCGGGTGGCGGTTAGGGACGTCGACGGCTGTAAGCATCTTTAACTGGCTGCAGCGGAGTGGAAGCAGTGGGAGGGAGAGAAGTACGAGGGGAAATACTCCCTGCGCTGCGCTCCAAAGCTCCTAGGCTTTTTTTTCCTCCTTTGGGTTCCCCCTCCCGCATATTACCAGTCCATCTCCCCTTCCTTCCCTATCTTCTCCTTCAGGCCATGCTTCAATCCATTCCATAATCCCCACCATCCTCGGTCACTCCTCTCCCCTGCCCCTCCTTCCTCACATACACACAACACACACCACCCCACACCAACCCCTCCTCCTCACCTCCCTCCGTTTTAAGCCTCTGCGCCGCCTCGTACGCGGGTAGCTTCAAATTGGCCCTCATCTTGGTCAACACGGACTTGAGACTGCTGGAGTAGGAGGCCATGGTCTCGCGGAAATCCCCTGCAAGGTGGTTAGGTTGGTCAGTTGGTTGGTTGAGATTGTGAATTGGGTTTTTGGGGTTGGATGGTATGAGGACTTCGTCGCGGTTAAGGTGTTGTGTGAGAGGTAAGAGAGGGAAGGCCGGGGGAAAGCGACAAAAACGAAACTGAAAAGGCAACCCGTAGCCCGCCCGCGCATACGGTATCCACATCCACAGGTTACTTCCCTTCGATTGACCTTCGATTGACCTTCGATTGACCTTCGATTAAGAAACGCGGCACACGCAGAGACAGCACCGCATATAGACACATACATAGGGAGGGCAGATGCGTTGTGTTGTGTTGTGTTGCGTTGCGTCTTCCAACGCGCACATAACACGGGGGCACTTTCTCCACCCTATCTACTTTGCTGCCTCCGCTATTCCTCCCTCAGCCTCGTGAACATTTGCAATTGCAATACCGACCCGTACGTATCTGTACGACAACAAAGTACGCAAGGCCCCGAAAGCCGCAGCCACACGTCAGCAGCCGTACAGCCAAGGCCACGACAGGCGCAGCAGCAGTCGTCCCCCCGCACCTAGCGCTGCTGCGAATGCATCCGGGTCCATCATCACACCCCCCGCCAGCCGGTTGGCGGGGGTCATGAGGGGCCGGCCACGGGAGCCAGGACGACCAGCTGCGGGTGTTAGAATAACGGAGGTTCGGAGGGGCTGTGAGAGAGAGAGAGAGGTGTTCGATATGGGGGGAGAGACGGGGAAGGCAGTGGTAAGCATTCTTCTAGGTAAGCACCAAAACACATGCGCGCACACACAAGCACATAAGCAGGACGCACCCAACACCAACACCAATATCACATAGGTGCACACGTCACATACGTCACACACCCGCCTGGCGCTGCTGCGCACCTGTTCCCGGCCGCCCGCCCCCAGCGGTGCCCGGCCTGCCCCCCGCAGCGGTCCCCGGCCGACTCCCCGCCGCCGTACCCGGCCTTGCGGCGGTGGCTGGGCGACCCGCGTACTGGGGCGCGTAGGTTCGAATCCCCAGTCGCTGTCGAAAGGCCTCCATCTCCGCAATCGTGGGATCCAAATTAGGCAACGGGGCTGCTGTGTGTGGGGGTGCCAGCGGGAGAAAGTGAGAGAGAGAGGGGCCAGCGGAGGCCGTCCACGTGCGGTGGTTGAGAAAAGGAGAAGTGGCGGAAGAAGCACTGGCGAGAATAAAACGAACCAACACCTACCAGCTCCAGCCACATAAGTGGCCCTGCTCCTCCCCCCCTTCCCTGCTCCAAACCCCGTGTCTCCCCTTTTTTCTCCCCTCCTCAACTGAAGAAGCCCCTTGCAACCCTCAACGTGCTCCCACCTTCCTCTTCAGCGCCTTTTACCGCTTCCTCCGCTGCACCGCCGCCAGCCGCTCCACCACTACCAGCACCAGCCGCCGCCGCCGCCACCGGCTCCTCCGCCACCACCAGCACCTGCGCCCGCTCCTGGCGATCGCACAACTCCAGGGATGGCAACGCCGCAAAGAGCTCCGTAACATAACTACTGCTACTGGCGCTGACTACCGCAGCAGTGCTACTGCCGACGGCGATAGAGGAGGAAGAGGAGGTTCCGTTGGCTGTAGCGCCAGCCGAGCAGAGTCGCGTATTGCCGTGGAGCTGTAGCGCTGCGAGGTCTGTGAGGGGGGACAGCGCCTGAGCTAGCTGGGTCGCGGTGATGGCCAGGCGGTTGCTTGCGAGATCCTGAAGCACAGGGCCCAGCAGTGGGACCAGCAGTGGGGCATTAGGGCCATCAGCCGGGTGGACCGCCATCCACTCCACCCACGGGTTCGCTCATTCATCCATTCGTCCCTTCCCACATTCCGTTTTCATCCCTCGCACGGCAGAAGTGAGGGTGGGCACGGCCACGGAATATTGCCCCCCTCACTCCTGCTGCCCTAGCCGCCCAGCCCGTCCGTATTCACGCGGTTAAACCGTTTCCCCTGGCCCCCATCGCCCCCCCCCACCGCACCCCCCGAGCCCACCAGCAGCTCCAGTACAGGCACCTTGCCCGCCAGCCCCTCCACACCCTCCAGCAAGTTCTCTCGGGTGTACAGCTCGCTGAGCTTGGGAAGAGCGCACAGACCCGTCAAGGAGGTCAGTCCGTTGCCGCTCACGTCCAGGATCTGCGGAATTAGGATAGGGCGGGAAAGGGAAGGAAAGGGGACAGCAATCAGGGACGGGGGTTTTAAGGAGGAATACCGTTGTCACTCCAAACCTCCAATACTCGTGCCATATACCCCCGGACTTGGTGTCTCCCTGCCCTAGGCAACATTTATTTGTTGCCTAGGGCAGGGAGACACCAATTAGAGGGTTAAAAGACACGAGGATTGGAGGTTTGGAGTGGCACACTGTGATGAGGGTGGGGTACCGTAGTGTCGTTGACCTATCTAAAGGTTGTTTTGACACGGGCGCCCCGAAAAGCGATACCTGCTCCCTCGAACGGACCCACCTCCAGAGTGCTGGCGACGGTTTTTAGCCCCGAGAGGTCCGAAAGTTTATTATCGGCGACGTGCAGCTCCTGGAGCGCAGCGCAGCGCGCCAGGCCCTTCAGATGCTGTAAGCGGTTGGAACATGCGTTGACGATGCGCAGAGCTGGACAAGCCGTAAGACCCTCCAGCTCTGTAAGTTGATTACCGGCTACATGCAGGACCTCGAGGGACGTGAGCCGGCCAAGGCTGCTAAGTGACGAAAGCTGGTTAAAGGACACATTCAGAACCTTCAGGCTGCGGAGGCCTTGCAAGCCCTAGTCGTGGGGACAGCGACAGTGTTGGAATCATAACTGCCGAAGTTAGGCAGAGGAAGCTGGAAATGCATACCTCTAGCTGGTTCAGAAGGTTTCCATCGAGGGCGAGCGTGTGCAAATCTGATAATCGCTGCAAGGCCGAAGTTGATGTTAATTTATTATCGCTTAACCTAAGCTCTTTGAGCTTGTCAAGGCCTTCCAGCCTGCACTGTCACAACCCGGGTCAATGCGGAATAACTCATGCCGCGGCAGGACTTTGCGCCACCTACCCCTTCACGCCTTTTAGTTGATTAAAAGCCAAGTCCACGACTTTAAGTCTTTGACATTTGTCGATCGGTCCCAAATCCGTCAGCCCACGGTTGCGAAGTTCTAAAGCGACCACCTGGCCCAGGTCGTCCTCTTGGGCGGCCTCCCGCTGCAATCGGTGTACACGGAGTTTACATAATCCGATTATGGGTAACGACTTTGCACTTGTGCCAGTTTCCTTACAAGCAGCCGCTCGGTGAGGACCGACATCGTAGTCTAACTCCTAGCCAGCAGCCATAGTTCGCAACTTTTTCATTATGTTCCACATGACAAAAAATGTTTCAGTCCTTTGTTTCACAGAGTACAGCCTGCAGCTCGTGCCGTTCAAATCCCGTATATGAAGTGCTGTACGAGGCCGTTATACTGATCCGTATGCATCATGCACGTTTACAGCATGTGCTCCCCCATATCCCCGCCCAATAATGCCCACTAGCCAACAAATTCGTCCTATCGTAAGCCAACCGCAACCGCAACCAGCAAGCCTTCCTAATAACCCCAGGACGTCTGCCACTCCACCATTAACCCACTCCACCTACGCTACCGTCGCTCCACCCTTGCAACATCACTCCAAAAGGAAAAAAACCTCAAAATGAAATGGACACCACACATAAAGCACCGAAAAAGAACACCAGGCGGCTCATCATCACCTTCAGGGCCCTCAACACAGCCGAATCTTTCAAAGAATGGACCGCCAGCATCAACAGCAGAAGCACCAGCACCGGCACGAGTGCGCAACCCAGCCGGAGCTCCATCACTCCTGCTGGAGTGGGACAAGATCCCCAGACGCCTGCTAGCAATCGCGCTAGATCTTCGCCTGCCCTCGGCTTTTGTAAACAACGAACTCCCGGAACTTCGGGAAAGCAGCAGCAACAGCAGCAGCTGCAGCAGTTCGCTGCTTAGCAGCAGCTACGCGGCTTTTCCCTATCGTCCCTACTGGGCATGCACTCAACATCGCATGCACAAAGCCTCCTCGCAGCAGCCTCGTTCCGCTGCCCTCTCGGCGCCAATGCTCACTCGCAAACATCCCGATCGTCCTTAACTTCGGGCCCGGCCCCCGGTCCATGTGCTAGTAAAGGCAACAGCAAAGGAAACGCGGCGGAGAAGCTCAATGAGAGTGTCGCTTCTGTCGCTCGAGACGCGTTGCGCTGCACCACTAGGCGCGCCAACAACGCATGCGACATGCCAAACTTCGCAACGGCGGTCCGTAAAAGTGCACAAAAAACAACGTCGCGCCCCTTACCTTCCGTCTCGCTGGTACCAACCCCACCCAACAACCTCGACCCCCTCCCTCCCCTCCTCTCTCATGTAACCTCCTCCCGAATTCTCCCGACCGTCCCGCAGACCGTTGTGGCAGAACAAGACAAACCCTCGCCTCGCAGCGGGGCACATCCAACTTGCAGTTGATGCAGTCGTCCTCTCCTCCAAGACAAACCCGTAGCCCTCCCTCTCGCCCACACACGTACCCCTCTTCTTCAGCCACGTCTTGCACCCGCGTTATATCGTCGGCGCCAGGAGCACGTTGCCCAGTAACGATAACACATTATTCTCCTCCGGATTCTCCAAATGCCGGTTCCAATTGTCGTACGGCCCACGACCCGTCACCACCGCCTGCGCCGCATACCCCAGGCATGCCAACATCGCCAGCCGCCCGTGGCGAATCTCCGCCTGCTGCATCTCCCGCATCGCCGCCGGCTTCTCACCCAACCCCAGCGGATTGAACATCAGCCCTCCCGGGTACGCCGCGCTGCCCGCGCGAGTCGTCGCGATGAGCTTCTCCAGTCCTAGCAACTTATTGTTGCGCAGGCTGCCCGGCGCAATGTACTCCGCGCCACGAAGCCCCTCCGCAACGCCCATCATCACCATTTGCACGGCAAAAAGTACCCCCAGCGGTAGTCCGTAGTCAAAGCCGGCGCTAGCCTGCGGCAGGAACCCCGTCTTGAACCACAGCAGCCCGGTCGCCTTGGGAATAACCTTCTCGTGTGCCAGATATTCGGGTGCGAGGCAGCCTGCTGCGCCCAGCATGGCCCACCGAGCGTGCATGAGCTCCGCTGTGTGGAGCCATCGTTGGGAGAGGAAGCCCGCAGAGCCGCCGCTTGACGGGTCGAACAAGCCTAGCGGGTCAAAGCCAAAGTCGCCGGGTAGCGTGCCGTCGAGATAGGACAACGACGATGCCGTCGGCATGATGAGCAGACGGCCGGCGGCGTCTGGCGGCGGACGGCCGCTGGTGCTGGCGACGCCCGCGGCACGGTACGACAAGGGTGCTGGAGAGAGGATATCGGGGTCCTCGCCTGGCGGTGCTGACAAAGGTACGACAATGGTCGCCGCCGGCAGTGACTGTCGTGGCCGAGAGGGGGAGGGGGCGGAGGCGGACGCAACGTTTGTCGCCGGGGACCTTGATGATGGTGATGATGATGATGACGCTGCCGCCAGGACAGATGATGACGGTGGCGGCGGCGGCAGCGGCACGTCCTTCCACCCAGGCGAGTCCTCAGACCAAGAAAGCGCCAAGGCCGATGCCACCACAGGCGCACCGCCCCGGCCGCTGTAGCTTCCACCACCACCGCCACCACCACCACCGCTCCTGCTGCTGCTAGTACTACTACTACTACTACTAGGCCCCCGGAGCATCCCGCCGCTAAAGTTCGCGTAACCATCCTTGCTACTGTTAAAACTGCTGCTGCTACTGCTGCTGACTGGTAGGGCCCAAGACGAAAATGATGAAGGTGACGAAGACAACAATGCAGCACTGACGACGCTTCTTCCACTGCCATTGCTGCTGCCGGTGCTGGCGCTGGTAGTTGCTCCCGAGTCTCGAACCGTGGCGGGTTGGGGGCGTGGCGGCGTAGGCCTGCGTCCGCCACCGCTACCGCTACCGCCACCGCCGCCTCGGGGCGGCGACGGCCTCGGCGGCACCCGCAGCGGCCGACCCGCGTTTGTCTTCAACAGCTCCTCGCCCGTGTCCCCTTCTAACCTCGGTATACTGGACAGGCTTGGCAGTGTGGAGTCTTCCGAACGTTGCTTAATGAGCTCCAGGGACACGAACCTCTGCGAGAGTGGAACCATCCAACAGGGGGCATTGGGAACTCACTCGATTGGCTTTCGCCACGTCTCTGGCGCCGGTCAGGGATGCCGCACCGGTCAGTCGTGAATAGAGGCAACGCATGCACATGTGTTCAGGTTCAGCACATCAAGCAATGGGATTGAGTGCCGAGCGTCTGTAGGGATCCCCCGCCCTTCCGCACATCCTTATAAGACTGCAAATCAAAAGGGATGTGGGGATTTGCGGGAGGACTGCAAAAGGTTTGTTTCGTCAACACCGCGTTTTCGCCCGGGGGCCCCAACCATGTCTACCGTAAAAGCAAAAACCCTACTGAGCTCTTCATTATCACGCTACACGCCTGACTGTCAGCCATCCATTCTCGTCCACACGGGCAACTCGGTAACCAACCAACCGCTGGGCTGCGCAAGGACACCATAAAACCCGTTACCTCCTAACCTGTTGCTGCTTCTGCTGCTTTTGCTCGCACCAATAGGCCTAGGCCGACACGCATCGCGGGATGATGCATGAACAAGTGAAACGCAACCAAATCTCAACCACAACATCAGTCGAACGTGCAAAGCTATGACGCGCTTCGAGCTTCTCGAAGGTGTAGCGGCAGCACAGCAACACAAGAGTCTCACTCAACTTTCAACCTCGGTCCTGATTGGGCGGTCTTGGCGCGATGAGACGTTGCGCAATGCTCAAACCAAACATGCGTACACACGAACACACATACTCTCTTCCTCTCGCGCGCATTCTCTCCTTCCAGATTGCATCCTGTCCCTCACTCCCACGCGCATGCCTATCCACCCCCCCATACCCCATCGTCCTCTCCCTTACACCCATTCCTCCTAGCCCGACCACCCCGCGCCTCACCCTCGCCCTCCAAATCCCCCGCGCGCTCATGCGCGCGTGTGGGTTTTACGCGCCGTAGTTGACGCGGTAGGTCCCCGCGTTGCCCTTGCCAATGACGGCGGGCCCCGCGGCGGCGGCGTCCGAGGCCGTGGCCTGAGCGGCAACGACACACGGGGCACCAACGGCACACGGCGCGGGCATAACGGTGGGTAGGTGTATGTGTGCGTATGTGTATGTGGGAGATACTTAGGTGAAACCTAGCGTGTTTGGGCCGCGCGGCTGTGGTGGTGATGGCGGCACGGGCGCGGTGAGGGAACGAGAAACAACCCCTACGGCTACTACTACTTCACGGATTTAACCAACGATCTTATTTAGATAAACACCCTTAAACCCTAAAACTCTGTAATATACATATATAGAGTAATGTTGCGAACAAAGCCAAAAAAGACCGTAGGCAACCAGAGATGAGACGAAAGGAAAGGTAAAGCTGTAAGCAAACTGGCAGGAGGCTACAGAAAACATGACGTCACGCATACTGACCAGTATTACGCATACTAGTAAATACCTAAGCCCAGGAGGATATCCCTAGCTCGAGGTTAGGTATGTGGAATAATCGCAACCTCAGCGGCCACAGCTCCACCATCTCCATCCCGCCTCAACGTGCAATTCCATAGCCATCTCGCCCTTTCAACCCCAACAAATCCCACCATGACAACAACCCCAGCGGCTAAACCAACACTGTGCTGTTACCACGGTGTTCCAATACACCACGATTTCTCAACATTACAGACTACACGTGGGGGTCTACTACCGCACTATAGCATGTGTGCCCCCTTTCACAATTACATGTAGCCTGTAATGTGGAGGTGCGCCGGAGGACCGCATGGCACGCGTGAATGAACAAGGGGGGCCCAATGCTGTGGCATCCGCGCCGTCCACCTCTGTCCGCCTTCCACACGTATCTGGTGCCGTGCGTGCGCTGAAGTAGGCGCCGCACGTGGGCCGCAGCAATGTGCGTGTGTGTCGCCTACTTCAGCGCACGCACATCATGCGTCACATTAGTTGTACTTTAGTTAAGAGTACATGCAAGAACAACAAAGAACAGGACCAAAGCCCACAAGGACACGGTAAAAAGGATAGCTCGTACATGTCACTTCTAGCCTCTCAAAATTCCTTTGTTCCACCTTCCACGAACGCCTTCCCTCTACAACGCCTAAACCCCTTTGTGCTTTTCGGGGCTAATCCACTAATCCACAACCTACGTGACCATTTACATTCACCTACGTGACCATGAAATACATCAGCAACCACCATACGCGAAGTATAATCGACCTCCCAAATAACGGTCGCTTTACATTCCGACAGGCGTGTACGTAATTGAAGCGTCATGGGGGAGAGGATGGGTAGGGCAGGACAGCGGGGCTTGTGGGGGCTTGCGGATCCGTCCCCTTCCAACACCTCCTTGTCCGGTCCGGTCCTTCCCGCCACACGCGGCCGTCCTAAAATCCCGTGTCCTACTAGCCGCAGATTATACTGCGGCCCCCTTAGACCTCTTCTCCTCACAAGTAGACATGCACCGCGCCCGACATGTAAGGCCGCCCTCAACCACTACCCCACTCCATCCCATATCCAGAACTTCAGGCCAGCAAAAAGCCTTTACAGTGGTTTCGCACATTCATTTTTTGAATCCATCCCCCGTCCAAAATGCGCACGCACCTCCAATCTCCTCTGCGTTTCACATTTGGGTTTCCTCCAAGTCTCTGGCTTGCCGCGTTGCCTGGATTGTGGGTTTTCCTCCCCACGTCTTCCCCTCTTTCAAGGACTCTTTTCCAACATGCACCATCACCATCACCTCTTCCCGCCTTAACCCATCACTCCATTCCCTTCTCTCTCCCCCTCGCAGCCTCACCTGGAACCGCAGTCCCTGTCCCTCTCCAACCACGTGCAACAGCCACAGCGAGCAAGCCAGGCTGACGAAATGACCCAACAGAGTGTTGGTGGCCGCCTGTGAACGAATGTGAGCGAGGCGAGGCGCGAGACAAACGACAGCGAGGCGCAATTAAGCGCGAGGGAAGAAGAACGCCAGGTGTCAGATATGGGGAGTCTCAATCTATAGGTGACTTTTTGAACAGTTAAGCTGGAAAGCCGTATATTATGCCCCAAGCCCACCTGCACCAAAAACACATCCAACGCTACCACGGGGTTGTAGTTGGCGCCGGTGGCAGCTGCCATGAAGGGGTAGGAGCTAATCTGCAGGGGGTGAGGAACAGCGACGGCATTGCAGTGACGGCAATGTCAAGGTATTCCAGGCGGCATAAGGTAAGGACTGGCGCAGCATGGCGGCACGACCTCAACCCCGGGGGAGCGGAATGGCTGGGGCTAAAGCCTAAGTGGGGATGCGGAGAGGGTTAGAAGGGCCGGAAAGTCCGAGAAATCTGGTTACCTGCAGAGTCTTGGCGACTAGCATGCCCACAAGCGCTTGCACACCGGCCAGCGTTGCGGCGAGGCCGGCCATGTTGATGAAGATCCCGCGCGTCACCATGTCAACCACTTGCTGCTTCTTAACTTTGGGTACCTCCTGACCGGGGGCTGCGTCCAGATACGCCTGCATCTTCATGGCCGTGCGGGTGTATCCAAAGTTCCAAAAGGTTGAAAGGAAGCCAGCCAGGATGCCGAAAAGGGTAAGGTAGAGCGACGCCTTGGGTCCGCTCTGTAGGGAAAGCCCAAAGTGACACCGAATACTCGTGTTGGTTTCAGCTATCATCCGCAGGAAAAGCGCGGCAAAAGCATGCAGGATAAGGGTGGAATCGAACAGTCAGAGAGCGCACCTGTGATGTAAACGCGACCGAAAACAGCAAAATCACGCCACCCACGACGGATAGCGTTAGCTGCGCCCAAAAGCTTAGCCAGCCATAGCGACGCACAGCTCCAGTTGCGCGCGACAGCGCCCGCCTAGCGGCCTCGCCCATCCTCTCGGGCGGCAACTCGGGTGCCGACGGGTATCCATAGTCAACCGCCCGGCACGATACCTAAAAGACGAAAGCAGAGCTTGTCTTGTCAGCGCCGGAAAATAACCGTTGTAGCTTCAACGGTGTTTGGAGCGTGTGGAAGTCTCCATACGGAAACCAAACCCGCTTACATCAAAAGGCTGCTTCTCCACTGCTTGCTCCTTAGATGGTAAAGGAGCAGCTCTATGGCGAGGCAGCGCACCACTGCTCCTCAGAATTGCTGGCCGAGTGGAGGAAGTTGACGCGCGAGCCCGCACGAGCACTCCCGCCCGATGATGGGAATGTAATGCACATTCCATGGCTACGTTCAAAGCAGGAAACAAAATCAATTGGTTTGTTTGTGCGCAGCGCAGGATACTCCTGTATTGTCCAAAGGAATACCTATCTACAGTATCACCAGCAAACGATGACTACGGCAGATAACACACCAGCGAAGCATAGTTTCTCTCGGTGCTTGTGGTAGGAAAATGTACCGCGCTTCCCTCATGAACGTACGGCGTCATGGTCCCGGAGGCACCAGAGGCAAAACCAAAGACAGGTACTGAACAGTAACCCTGGTGAGTCTCCAAGCTATACTTGAAGGTTCCGGAGAGCTGGATGTCTTTGCTCCCTCCATGAGCGCTTATCATTTATGCACACAAATTGCGTATGCGCGCTGAACTGCGTTATAAATCCCCAGCGGGGCCAGCGGGGCGTTTTCAGCAGACAGCATGTTGGAGCTGGTCGCACAATCAGTGAAGCAGCGCGGTGCGTCTATGAGCAGTTCGGGTCGTCCAAACGTCGGACAGTCGCAAGCAAAGCGGTTTCTTTGCCTGTTCAGGGAGCGGCGACCCTCGGACAGGTGCTCATGACCTGCTTGATGGCTTCCAGCTGCGCATGTTTTTCAACTTGTCCATGAAAAATGTGGACCGTAACTACATCAGCATTAGCACCAAGGAGGTCCCCACCGGACTGCCTGGCGACACGAGCCTCTTTGCGTAAGCCATACGGGAAGGGTGAGCCAACAAGTTAAATTCTTTTAGGTCCTAAGTCCTGTTCAGGCGGGCTCCGCAGAAATTTCCTTTCCCCAATTCCACGAGGTGTTGCCCTATTTTTTCGCCCTCATGTCGCTGGGTATCTGAGCTCTTCCTGCACGGGCCCAGGACCCAGCCAACTCCTCATACAACGACGTAAACTCATCCATCCTCCAACCGCCGGTTACGTGAACAGGAATCCAGCTTGGAGCCTGCTACGGCCGCCACCCGTCCCCCCACCGCCAACCGAACCCGTGGAACGCATCGCAGAGAGAGTACGTCGGAGTTTTCGCTTTCCACCGGGCGGTGTCTTACTGAGCGCGGTAAGTACGGACTTTCGTTCTCTACGGGGAATAGAGACTTGGCGATTGGGGGGCTCACAGAGTGTACAGTATGCGGCTGTGTGAAGTCATTGACTCTAGAGACCCCGGGGGACCAGAGACCAGATCGATTGGTCGAACACAGAATCCCTGTGGGGGGTTATTTCGTAACCCTCGGCAGCACATGGGGCCCACCGGTCACGGCGTCTGTGAGTGGAGGGGCTTTGGAGGGCCTCCAGTACTAAGGCACACCGGTCGGAGAACGCCGAGAGGCACACATGCCCTGTACGGCGGATAACGGATTGCGGATCTCAACGTCATGTCGTGTTTGCGGATGATGATGATGATGGTAATGATGCACGTGCAGGCCGATAAAGGGGTTGACGTTACACGCACCTTTCTACGAAATGTGCCATCCGCGCCGGGGACTCGCCCGCCCGGAGCCTCCTGGAGTGCTGCCCCTGGCGGCGGCGGCGGAGGAGGAGGAGGAGGCGGGGGGAGCAGCTCCGGCACTAGCGCAGCAGTGACGGGAGGAAAGCGGCGCGCGGCGGCCGCTGCGGCAGCGGCGGCCGCAGCGGCTGCTGCTGCTGCTGAGGTTAGCGGCGGATCTGAGCAGCAGCAGCAGCATTCGGGCGAAACACACAGCTTCTCGTACGAATCTTCAAAGGTGAGCCTTTCGCACCGCGGGCTGTTTCTGAGCTTAAAGTATTAATCAATCTCGGGCATTTGTGCGAGCGTAGTGGTGGCAGGGGGTTTGCAGCAGCAGCCGGGCCGGAGTGGGAACATGGTGCGGATACTGGCCGTACTACGGCAGCGATGGAGATGTGAAGTGTCGAGGCATTGCGGGGTGGCGGCTGGCGGCTGGTTTTTTATCAGGGTTTTTTTGGGGGGCCCGTCCCCAAACCCAACCCAACCCTTTTTTATCAGCCACGAAGGCAAACTTTGGAATCCGTTGACAAACATCCCCTACCTCCCACGTCACCCTGCCTGATGATGCAGCGGCAACGGAGCTGTTATTGAGCCGCGGCGGAGGGTTGATGTGCGTTGGAGGAGGTGTGGGAGCGCGAAAAGGGCAGACGACCCGACTACCAGAAGCGTTGTGGATCTTGTCCGACTCACATGATTGCGGTTTCAGGCAGCACGGGTTGCGGCCCTCTCTCGGCACAGGATCCCACGCAAGGGCGGCAACCTCGACACTATCAACACTATAATGTTTTTCCTTTCTTGCAGCTGTGGTAGCTGTGTTTGCACGGGAGTTGTTTGGGAATGATTTGGGAATGAATGTGTTGTTGGTGTGGCGCGTGGCGGGCGGCTGTGCTATGCTGTGCTGACTGGCTGTCTGTCTGCATTGATCGTGGCTTAGGGATGGCTGCAGAGGCTGGGCTGTCGGCGGTGGTGGCGTGCGTGGCGTGGGGGGTGGCGGAACTGGAGGCATGGGCGAAGCAGAGCTGGCGGCGGCAGCTGGGCCTTTCAATCACAGTCAGCCGGGAATAGAATGAACTGCGGGGGGCGAAGAGGGGGTTGTCGGGGGTGTCTAGTCGGCTTTTGCATGCGGCCGTGTGGGGGGGGCCCCACAGCGTGGGTGGTGGGTCATCCGCAGAAGCGGCAGCGGCGCCATGAGCACCGGTAAGTGTCACTGTCTCAGGACGCACATCAGTATTCTTAACAGGGTACGTGATGGAAGTCTTCCCGCAGCGATTTCGCTGCGTTTTTTTTTTTCCGTCGAGTCATTTTGTTACCGACGGGCCGTGCCCAGTTCAGGGTGTCATCACCCTGAAGATACAAAACACGGGAGGAAAATTAAAGGTGCAGATGAAGGGTCGATGCACGATAGCCGCAGCAAGCGTATTGTATTGTTTTGGCGGCCGAGGGCATGGCATGACGAGGAGTCATTGGCATTGCACGAGTGTGTGTGTGTATGCGCGTGTGTGTCTGTTTGCCGATCTGTGCGTGTGCGTGCCTTTAGTGCTCTTCTTCCCCTTTAGGGGAGCTAAAGGGGAACCCCTTTAGTTCCGTGCGTTCAATCCATCTGCAAGTTATATGCCGTATATATGTGGTGAATTGGTGATTATTGATGTGCCGACTGATGTGCTCTCCCACATTTATTATTTATTCGACTAAAGGTGACGACATTTATTTACCACAATCAAAGGCATACGACGGGTGTCTTACACAGCCATCATTCCTAGAGACCATTTTTTTAAAGACCACATGAAGATATATAGCATTTTTATTAATAGCCAAGTTGCTCGTCCAGTGGCTGGCGTACGCCCGGACACGTTGTATTTAAAGTATCAAGGAGTTGAACAGGCAGGCAGTAAGTCGGTACGCGCACCCTAGTACATAAAATCCGCGTCCCCTCCTCATGCCCTAAGTTGATAGATGCAGAGGTTGTGCCAAAAAGCTCATCTTAAAGCGAAGATCAGAGGTAATAAAGACCGTGAGTCTCTCCATCAACACCCACGAACAGCAACACCACATCATGCCGTAATTTCTCCAAATATTAGATAAAAAAAGTTTAAAAACTGGATCCAGGATTCCAGGCTGGATCCAGAACCCTGGTCCCCTTTACGTCTTATAGCCCACATGTTGTGCACTCCAGAGCACCCCTCCTCACACACGCTGTGGCAGGCGTGGGCTAAATTACGATAATGCAAGGTGCCATAAGAACTTCGACACCTAATGCTGCCTTAAGAACAAAACCGCTGAAGTAGAAATATATTCCCGAAATGCCAATAGGTTTTTTTTGACCCGCGTCACGCAACACCTTAAGATTGTTGTTGTTGTTGTTCCACCTTCCTCTCCACAAAAAGGTCATAATTTGCTTAAATTGCCGCTGTGGCATTAAAAAGAGGTCGCACATCTCTCTCAATCCATAAGAAATGCATCAAAGGATAAGAACGCGGCCTCGCAATCTTCGCGCATCTTCGCCCACCATTATTATCTTGCCATACTTAAAACTTTGTCTTCTTCTTCTTCTTCTTCTCCGTCTTGTTCTTCACCCTCACCTTGTTACGGTAGTACGACAATCCTATGTGCGAAAGAAAGGCGTACGACGGCACCATACCGGCATTTTGAGAGGGAAGAGTGTTACGCGGCTCACTCCCAGTCTTGGTGCCTCATCCACCGCCTTCACTACCCCCCCGAGCCAAAAATGGTACCACTCGAGCCCATCGAAGTACCGATTTGGTAAGCAAAACAAACGTAGGGTATCTATAATCTATCCAGCTCCTAATCCCAGGACGTACAAACGGACAAACCGCAAATGGACAACTTTCGAGGTGTACGACTGCAGGCCCATCTTGGCAGGTAACAGACGAGACCCGGCTTTTATCAAAGATACGACAGATCGTACTAGTCGCACCGGCTTGACGAAACTGCCGTACCGCGGCAGCCGTAATCTCTCCGCCAATTCAGCCTCGTCCCCATCCGCACGACAACCCCACTGCCACCTCTCCAGTTCCGATCGCCACGTCCCCCACCCACGCACTCACTCACACCGCCCAAAGTACTGCTGTGAGTACGCCGACAATGCTAAATCCAATAACATCAACATCAACATCAACATCGACAACGATAACAATAATAACAACAACAACGAAAACGCGGAAAAAGGCAGCCCGTGAAACACCGCATACATATCTGTTCTGTTTTGATTTGCAAGGCTTGAGTTTCAAATTTCGGCGCCGGCGCGGAGCCATGCAAAAAGGCAAAACACAGGCGCGGGAAGGTTATGTGTGTGTGTATATGCAAGGTTGGCGCATGCTGTCCTCGCAGGGGACTGGGCAAATGGATGGTGGGTGCAAGCGGCAATAAACCCAAGGCGCGGACACATCAGCACCAGGGATTGGGGGGCGAAGGGCAGCCACCTAGCCGCATCTTCCCCCCCTGCCCCCACACCGGTCAGGCTCTTAAGACCCCCCCCCCACACACACACCCCCCAGGGGAACAGAGAGCTGCAAACGCCGCCACATGTTGGAAAGGCCCCCAGCCGACCGACAGAAAGCGCACCTCGCGCTCCGCGAGACTCGGTGAAGCCCCCGCAACCGTCACAACTACCACCACAACGACCACAACCACCATACCGAAATTCTCCAACGGGATGGAGGCACAGCACCGCACACCGCCCGCACCGCTCGATGTGTGAGGAGGGTCCCCACACTTGCCCCCGCCACCACCACCACCACCCCTGCGCGAATACCGTCCATTCGTTCCCCTCTCTCGCTTTCCCTCACAACCGCATCACCTCGTTCGTGTTCTAGTTCTCGTCATGCAACTTTTGCAAGAGGCTTCGCGAACCCTCAAACTTTGAGTAAGGTAGTGCCCGGGCTACTGCTACTCTTACAACAGCACTTATTGCTACTATTACTGCTACTGCTACTGCTATTGCTACTACTAAATTATTAATGCAAAATTACTGCTACTGCTGTACCATTAACTGCGAAGATGGTGTATTGGCGCGGCGCAGATCGAAGAGACTGAAAAGACACAAGGGATAAAGCACAAGTACGTAAGAACAATGGACAGGAGGTGTTGTACGACGGACCTGAGGGCTTTCTGAGAGAGCAATCCAACAAAAGATAGAAACCCCCGCAGACATCATCATCAGCTGCTGCTGCTTTGGGGAGGAGGTGATGGTGTGTCAGTTCTGACGGATTTCACAGACCCAAATAATATCCCTTCACATACCAATTCACCCTATCCAAACAATTCATCACCACCCTGTCACGCCAAAACATCTGAAGCGCTTTCTTCTTCGTGCATGTGCACCTCGGCTCCCCCTCCCCCTTCCCCCCTCGCCCGCCACCTCCCAGAGCTCTTCAAAACCTTTCCGCTCAAAGTAACCATGTGTATTAAAAATCAGGGCAGTTCAGCGGTACAAGACGTTGTCAAAGCCGTTGCCATATGCCGTACATGCCATGTGTACGAAAAATGTACGGAGACGAGAGCTTTTATGATTTGTGCTTTATCGGGGGGAAAGAAGGCGTTGCTCGGGGAGGTGAGGGGACCGACGGCGGCTGAGTACCGCCGCTGCGCCCGCCGGTTTCAAATGTAGTTTGGCGAGACTCACAAGACGAATAGACAGACGGACAGACAGTCCTACAAAGAATAGATGGGAAGTTGCACAGACAGACAGACAGACAAGCATGCCTTTAGGCCGGCAAACCGATGGACGGGCAGCTTTAGATGGGTAGACATACTCCGTACGGACCCTAACGATCCGCTGACTCAGCAAACGGACAAACGGACGGACAAACGGACGGACAGACAGACAGACAGACATCGCCACGGCATAAGCGGTAAGCACGGCGCTGCCACAGCCGCGCATGTCCCTCCTGCAAAATCGGAACCACATGAACCAGCTTCATCCGGCGATATCTGCAGCCGTACATTTGGGACCCTCCGTACATCCCTTTCCCTCGTCCACACGTACACTAACGGAACTCGTCACACCAACGGTCGGCCCCCTGCGCCACACGGCAACATTGTCAAGTTCCACCTCGAAGCCCCATTGCATGCAAAACAACGGTTTTAACAATAATAACAGAATAATTACAACGACATCAACAACTAAGCAACAACAGCAATAAAACGAGGCCATGCGAAACAGAAGTGATGATTAGCATCGAGTCCCGAACTTGCTGCTAGGTCTCCTGCCAGACAGCATCAGGCCCAAAAGCATCATCCCCTCTACAGTCAACTAACGCGCCACTCTGCACCAGTCTCTCCCCAAGCCAGGGCGGCGTCTCCCCCCCCCAGCCACTTCACCTCCAAGGGGCGTCATTGATCCGCGAAACCCTCGACACCCGCCGCAGCCGTTAGTGCCGCCGCCAGCGCCGCCGCATCGTCCGCCGACGCCGTACAGCCCCCCGCAATGACGCCGCCAGCGGCATCCATTTGCAAGTTCGCCAGCCAATCCATTCCCCCCGAGTCGTGTCGTACCATGAGTAACGCGGGATCCGCCAGCGCCAGCAAAGTGCTGGACGGGGCTGCATCCAGGTTGAATGACGGCAGCCGCATCGAGCCGCCGCCGGTGCCCAAAATAGCCTCCAGCGGCTGCGGAGCCGGCGGCAGACTGGACGAGCAAAGGCCGCCACCGCCGCCGCCGCCTGCGGCGGCGGCAGCGGTGGGCAGCGAAAGCAGGCGCGCCAGGCTGAATGATGCGTCCAGGAAGGGAAGTTGCAGCATTGTGCCATCATCACTAGCCGCATCGTGAAGCAGCTGCGTATCGCCGCCGCCGCCATCGTCGCCTTCACCGGCGGCGCCGCCAGTGGCAGCGCCGGCGGCGGTGGCGGCGGTGGCGGCACCCCCGCCGCTGTAGATGGTCTGCGCCGGGGAGGGCGCCGGAGCCGGCAGCGTCGTCAGCGCCGTACCTGGACTCGTGTCACAAGGTGTGACGACGTTGCTTGGGGCCGAGCAATGCCGATAATGCGGCAGCGCCGGCGCCGGCACCGCGGTGGCCGCCGCGGCGGCCGCATCCGCCTTCGCCGCGCTCCCCTCGCAGCCGCTGTCCTCACTCGCTGCACGAACACCGTCGCCGCCGCCGCCGGCCATTACGGCGGCGGCGTCGAGACCTGACGCGGGATCTTGGCAAATTGTGTAAGGCGAGAAGCTGCTGCAAGGCCCGAGAGCTGCTGCCGCCGCCGTAGTCACTGTGGGTGCGCTGACATTGGAGCCCGACGCCGGCGGCGGCGGCGGCGGCGATGACGACGGATGCTGACACGCCGCAGTAGCAAAGGCAGTAGCTATGGGAGACTGAGGGGATAGGGTTTGGTATTGCTCGGTGCGAGTGCGAGGGCTCAACGGCATCTCATGAGCCTGATTAGGCAGCGCCAGCGGCAGCGGCGGCAGCGGCGACGGCACACAGTCGTACGGCCGAGACGCAGCGGCAGCGGCCCAGTAACTGCCGCCACTATCGCTGCTGGGGCTCAGCGGCGGCGGCAGTCGCGGCGACACTGGAGAGCCTGCGGGCAAGCCGACAGGCAGCGCCGCTGGCGGAGCGGCCGTGGCGGAATGCAACGAGGGTAGCAGGGATGGCAGCTGGTCTGCGGCGGCGGCGGCGGCGGCGGCGACGCGCCCTGCGGACGGCGAGACGGGCAGCAGCGGCGGCGGCTGCCGCAGCGTTGCGCTGTGCAACGACCCAGGCTCGTTTATGACCTGCGCTGCTGGCGGCGGCAGCGGCGGCAGGGGGGCGCCACCGTTGCTGCTACTGCCACCTACCACTGCCGGAAGCAGCGCCGTCGCTGCCGCTGCCGCTGCTGGCGGCGGGTGTAGCGCAACGCCGGCGGCGGCGGCGGCACCGACGGCGACCGCGGCGGCGGCGGCGGCGTTACGCTGCAGCATCGCAGATATGCTGTTGACATCGAGCGTACCCGCCTCCAATCCAATGATGACATCGTTGGCCGTGTATCCTGATCAAGCACACACCGCGAATCAGGACCCAAAGCTCTAAGCGCTCGACATAAACCGAAAAACATAAGCCGAAAAATATCCGACAACCGAATAACAACCTTAATGGCCGTACCCACTGACCCGTGCTCCGGATGGCGTTGGAGGTCCACACGGCAAAGATGACCCGCTTCATGGCCTCACGCAATTTGACTTCGCGACTAAACATGCGATGCCAGGTCACAACCTGCAGCAGCACCAGCGGCGCCAGCGGTGGCGATGAGGAATGGGATGAGTGGCGGCTGGCGGCGGCGGGAAATGCCGTGTTGGGAATGCTGGAAGGGCTGGCAGCGCTTCGCGGTGCTTCGTGTGATGGCGGTGCCTGTGATGGCTTTTCCATTGGGCATCAGACGAGTTTTTGGGCGTGGCGAGGGCATCCTGCCGTACTACGCTTTGGATCCTGTCGTACCTGCATCTTCATTTCCTGGTTCTGCGCCACCAACTCTTTGAGCTCCTCCTGTCGGTGAGTGGGTGATGGCGGGAAAAGAAGAAGAGGGCCGGACCGTTGGCCGTTTATGGTTTTTTATGGTTAGTACCGGTACTTGTTGGTTGACAGTTAGCGAAACCAGATCAGGAATTCAGGAACAAAGCGAATCCCGACGGTGAAGAGAAACGATTTCAACTACTACCAGGTCAGGAAGTGAAGGAAGTCATATTGCACGGGGGGACCACAGCTAGCTGGGGCAGCAGAGTTGTTATCAGGATTATTATCTGGATTATTATCTGGATTATTATCTGGATTATTATCAGGATTATTATCAGGATTATTATCAGGATTATTATCAGGATTATTATCTGGATTATTATCTGGATTATTATCAGGATTATTATCTGGATTATTATCTGGATTATTATCAGGATTGTTATCTGGATTATTATCTGGATTATTATCTGGATTATTATCTGGATTGTTATCTGGATTATTATCTGGATTATTATCTGGATTATTATCAGGATTATTATCTGGATTCCTATCTGAATTCTTATCTGGATTGTTATCTGGATTATTATCTGGATTGTTATCTGGATTATTATCTGGATTATTATCTGGATTATTATCAGGATTATTATCTGGATTATTATCTGGATTATTATCAGGATTTATTATCAGGATTATTATCAGGATTATTATCTGGATTATTATCTGGATTATTATCTGGATTATTATCTGGATTATTATCTGGATTATTATCTGGATTATTATCTGGATTATTATCTGGATTATTATCTGGATTATTATCTGGATTATTATCTGAGATTATTATCAGGATTATTATCTGGATTATTATCAGGATTATTATCAACAGGCGGCCGCATAAAGCGCAATTATTTCATAAACGAGGGCGGGTGGAACGAAGTGAAAGCAGTCAGTTCCCATTCAGGTTGGAGAAGGAGCAAGAGGTGGCAGCGGCCGCAGGATGCCGTACCTGCATTCCGCGAACCATGGCCACCTTCTTGGCGCGGCACTTCCTCGCGGCGATGCGGTTCTTCTCCCTCCGCTCCCTCGCTTTCTCCGGGTCCTCGTCCTCCCCCTCGACACCCTCGCCCGCGCCCTCGGCCTCACCGTCTTCACCGGCTAGGCAGTTGCCTTCGGTTGCAAGCTCGCTACTAGGGTCGTTGTTACCGTTATCGTTTCCGTTACTGCCTAGACCAGCGAAAGCTTGCCGTTGTTGTTGTTGTTGTTGATGGTGCTGGTGGTGGTGCTGCTGCCAGGCCTCCATCGCCATTCGGACACCCACTACGTCCTCAAGCACCTGGGGAAGCAGCCGCCGCCGCCGCCGCCGCCGCATAACAGGAAGAAGAGCGGGATGGAACCTCCTCGGATACGTGTGCGTCTGTGTGCATGTATGTGTATATGTGTATGTATGTGTGTATGTCTCTCCTCCTTTCTCGCGATGCGGTACTGCATGCAGTACGATACATTACGAGGTGCAGGTACAGAGCAGAAACCCACCGACACAACAGCGCCCAGAGGAAGAAACTACCGGCCATAAGATGTACGGCAAATCTCAGTACGAGCCTCTGCCGTACATACTGCGCTTCCCAACCCTCCAGGTTGGTCTGCATGGAATAGAACCCACCGCATTGCTAAGTCCCGACTCAGCAGCCGCCGCCGCCGCCGCCGCCGCCACCGCCGTCGCGGCGACAGCAAACGGAGACTTCCCAGGAGGCGGCGCCGCCGCCGCCGCCGCCGCCGGAGGCCTTAGCGCCCCGGCATCTTCCTTACCGCCGCCGCCGCCGCCCCCGCCGCCGCTGGTGCTGCTTTCTACGGCAGCAAGCCCTTGACTCCTAGACGGCGGCCTCGTCGCGGCGCCCGCGCCAGTCGAGGCCGTCACCGCGGGACTACCATCTGCATCTAGAGAGTACGGCACGGAAAACCCAAACATAACGCCGTCAGGCCGAGGCGAGGATCGCACAGGCGGCTCCCCGTCAGCGGCCAGCAGGCGCCCCGCATCCGGGAGGAGGAGGGCGGGAGAAGTCAGAATTGTCTAGCGGCAATGAAATGACCTGATTTGATGATGAATGATTTGGGTTTTTAAATACCGACCTACGATTGAGAGGATTCGGACCGGGTTCTTAAAACCCCTTTTTCCTCCTTCGTGCCCTCCTATAGGTGCCTAATGGCTCAGCATGGGCATCTGAGAATCCTTTTTGCGCTACCGCACGCATGCACGCACACACAAGGCCAGAAGCACAGAGAAGCCTAATTTCGAAAAAGCAGCAGCAGCAGCAGCAGCAGCACATTTAACGTGTTTGCATCGAGCACAGCCTCGCTCCTAGTCCTCCTCCTCCTAGTCCTCCTCCTCCTCCTTCTCCTAGTCCTCCTCCTCCTAGTCCTCCTCCTCCTCTTCTTCCTCCTCCTCCTCCTCCTCCTCCTAGTCCTCTCCCTAGTCCGCTTCCAGCAACGCGTTCCGATAGGGTTCCTGTCGACCTACCGCACAGCTGACCGGTCCCGGAAGTACCGGCGCCGCCCGCCGCCGCCCTTGCCGGCCGCTTCGCTGCTGGTGCAGCCGGCCCCGCCCCAGCCCCCACCCCCGCCCCCGCCCCGGCTACTGACTGCTGCTGCTGCTGCTGTTGACTGCATGGGAGGTGCTCTTGCTGACCCGGTACCGCCTCGCGCTTGCGCTTACTGCCGCCGCCGCCGCCGCCGCCGCCGCCGCCGCCGCTACCGCCAGCCCCGGCGGCGGGGACTCTGCTTCCGCCGGATGCAGAAGAGGGGCCAGTCGCACGGATGCACGAAGCAATGGCGGAGCCGTTACCGCCGCCGCCGCTGCTGCCGCCGCCGCCCGGCAGTACGGCTGTCAATCCCCCGCCGCCGCCGCCGCCGCCGCTGGCCAACAGGAACGGCGACGGGTTAAGCCCCATAGTCGCCGGCAGTAGGGGCTCTACCCGTCTGAAGGAGGACGCCTGTTGAAGCATGGGAGGTGGTGTTCGTTTGTTCATCCAAGATTATCCAAGGAATAGTGGTTAAAAAAGCTCACTTGGTGGTGAGGTGGGATGAGCGCACCAGGGGGATCGATTTCATTTCGACAAGCAGCGGAGTAGGCATGCGTGTGCCCCCAAGCACTTGAAAAAAGCATTAACCGTTCTTTTTCCTCGACCAAGACGTCTGACAAAAGCCTAGCGAGATGATAACATTCAAGCCTCGTCTATTTTGCGGATGCCAACCGCGCTAACTTTTTCCGGGCGCTATGCAGGCAACGAGCAGCAACTTCTACGTGGGTCCTCGGCGCGAGCTTCCTTTTCCCTCCTCCAACGTAATTTTGCGGAGACTTTTAATTGCGGAAGCACGAGGGGCAGAACGAGGAAAGGAAAAGGAAAAAATTAGGGAAAAGGTAGGACCTGCTTCTTGGGGGAATAGAGAAAACCTCCCACAGCGTCTTGTTGTCGCGCTGTAATTGTCCAAAAACGGAAATGATGCGTTCGCGCCGCCGCCCAAATTTACCTGCTTCACTTGGTAAGCCGATTGCCTCTGCGACTGCGGTCTAAGAGTTGCTGCGCCATTTTCAAGCGCGCTTCCATTGTTGACCCCGATCTGAACACCAGGAGCACCAGCAACGTTAGCCGGCCCGGAAATTCCTATCGGAACTTCCGCCTGGAGCCCTCCTGCGGAGGAGCCTTCCGCAGAATTCGGTCCAGAGCTCACAATATCAAATCTGGTTGCAGTCGCTGCTTCTCCTGCTCTTGTTTTCGGCGCGAAAAAGCTTGGTGGCCCAATAGGATTGCGCGCCAGCTGTTGATGCGGCTGCTGTTGCGTCTGCAAGCTTGGCTTGCAGTTCCCGGCACCGGGCTGACGCTGTGGCTGCTGTTCAAGCGGTCGTTGTTGTTGCCCTTGTTGCTGCTGTCGTTGTTGCTGCTGGAATTGCTCCTGAGATTTGGCCTGGCCGATGCGGTTCTGACGCTGATGTGGCTGACGGTGGGATTGTGTGACCAGGAGCGCAGACATACTCACGTCCCAATCGATCAACAAGGAGCTACGATGTAGCACCGATTACGCTCCTGTCTGGTTCCGGGCAGGTTGCGTGAGCGGCCCGAGGTGCAAGGTCAGAAAGTGTTGCCGTCGGAGGATTTTGATGACGCCGAGCTTTCCGGCGGCACAGATAGAGAAGGATAGACAAAAATATTACAGGCGCAATTGAAGCATTTCGTTACTAGGAGAACGTAACGAAAATCTGTTGTGCTTGAAGCCATGGTGTAATGCCATGTCTGGATGAGAAAACGATCCGTCCCTACTGCGAGTCCATTCTTGTGTCCAAAGCCCGAAGGGCCCGAGGACAAGCACGCTTAGCTATTCCACGCAATACGAAACTTGATCTTTAGGAAACGGATATCGATTCTTCCGATAGAGGACGCTTTGTGTGGGTAGTTATTTGAAGCCCGTGGCGCCATGTAAAGCAGGATTTTATGACCCATGGGTCCTTCTTGCAAGCGCGTTTTGCAAGAACACAACGCACACAGGTTTTAAGCACGGTTCTAGGTTTCCAGCTTGCGGTAATGCTCCCGTGTAACTGCTGGAAAAGTAATTGATTTCAGGGCATGCTCTCCGGGGTGACAAACACATTTTCCTCATGTGCCTCATGCTCATGTCAGATACGTCCCCCAGGAGCTTTCCTTTAGTACCTAACAAGCACTTTTAAGAAGTACTTGTTACATGTACTGAATACAATATCAGGATGGTTAGCTGAACACCCCGCCCCCCCCACCTCCTCCACCCGTCCCCTCCGTCGTATATTTCAGCCCCAGTCCCCCGTCCTTCCCTCATCCTGATGAATGGACCATACCCCCCTATCTCGCTCTGTCTCCCGGAGACAGCTGTCGGAGCTATTAGAGGCGCCAGCTCCGCATGACAGGCAACCCGTGGCATGATGCCTCGCCTGTGGCGGCTGCACTGTGCATGGGGTGATGTCGGCATACATGCGGCTGTATGGGCGCTGCTGCGTACGTCAATACACCTAGAAGTCCCCCCACTCCCCCACTCCCCCACTCCCACATCGTCCCTGCCGGCCGTGGATTCTTTCTTTCTTTTCTCGGTAGTGGCCTTTTCCCCTCCCCGGGACGCGGGGAAAGGGGGTTCCAGAGGAGGGTTCTTGTCCTCGGTGGGCATAGGTGGGCAATCCCCACCCCCACCCCCAGCTTCCGCCGTCCCAGCCTAATCGCCCCACACCCCTATTAAAACTTTGTCACCATTCGTAATCTTTTAGTGACCAAGTGGTTACTCTGGGGGTTTTCCTTGGTAACCATCTTACAAACAAAATGTTTTTCCCAAGCGAGTATGCTGAACAGGAGCCCACTAGAACCATGCATCCGAAGATCCAACTTTGACTCTATATGTACAGCAGCGTGCTCCCGAGCCGAGCTCAGTGAAGCATCACTGCTCCCATCCAAGCGTCAAAACATTTCGTAGGTGGTCGCTGCGGGGTTCTGTGGCCCCCAATTTCCTGGCGACCACCTGGTTACTGGCAGGTAACTCAAAACATTTCCTAGTGACCACCTTCTGGAAGGGAATTCATTTTTTAGTAACCACTTGGTCACTAGTAACCCCACGTCTAAAAGCACTGGGGGGGAAGTTAAGATACAGGGGCCGTCGTGTGTCAGCTCTACCTGTCACGTGCTGCTTCTATGGTACGTGCCTCCCATTCGGCATTGCCTCTTTTTCAAGGCAACGAAAGGCAGCACTGCCCTATACCTCCGATACAATCCAGGCTGAGGCTTCATGCCAGGCCCTGAACTATGCTCACGGAACCTGCGCAGCGGGACCGCCCTAAGACCACCCGATTATCTATCCTACCTCGTGCCACCGACATCCGGAGTTATGAAATAATTGACCTGGACAGCTACGAAGGAGTCATCGCGGCACATTTGAGAGAAAGAAAGGAGAGGCCGCGGGCTGCAGCCCAGGGCACAGCACGAAGGACAGCTGAAGGACACGCCTGGGTAACGGCAGCATGCGCCAGCCCACGGCACACGAAACCCGGGTAAAAACGACATTGGCTTAAATCCATTACAGTATCAGGTGCAGTTTAATGCCTGGTGCGCGTAGGACGATACATTTCTGCATCAGCTGCGCTGTGCTTTGTTGGGTCAAGGAGGCCTCAAGTTCCTCGGCCCTCCATCGCAATGCCATACAAAATTCTTCAATGTCGACGTACAGGGGACGCACACCTGGTTTTCGGCATTCATGTCCTTCCCAGGACGGACGATTCATCTGAACATCCGTGATGAGGGGGATTCACGTCAACGAATTCATGTCGTTCAAGGCTGCACGTCGGCTGTGTAGCTCTTAAGGGAGGCCGTACAATCAGCCGTGGGGTGATCTTCAGACTGAAGATCTACGCAGCCAACGTGCACAGCCTTGAACGACATGAATTCGTTGACGTGAATCCCCCTCATCACGGATGGTCAGATGAATCGTCCGTCCAGGGAAGGACATGAACGCCAAAAATATAAATGATATAATCATACCTGCAAAGACATTACTGCAGACAGCTATGCCCGGAAAGCGAACTTCTACAGTAATGCCTTTGGAAAGACAATTAGGACACACCCAAGTGCCATCAGGGATTTTGCTTAAGAGGCGGTTTCAGGCAATAAGTATGCCATCCCGTCCCACAACTATCACAAAGAAGCATCCACTCCTCCCCATCAGGCATTTTGCAAATTTCACAGGACAGATAAGCGTGAGGTTGAGCTAGTTAAAAAAACACTGTTCCTTCATCTCATGCCCGTGCAAGCTCGATACATGCTCTTGAGGGAAAGATGGGTGCGGAAACGCAGCTAAATCCCTCTCAGCTCCTTTGGTCGTATTAAGGCGCATGCGTCCGTCAACCTTCCGACGAAGGCTACGGTAAGCATTGCCACATGAGACATCCGACCAATAAAATGTTTATTTCTTAGCACTCGGCAGCGATGTTAAGGAATAGACACGTCTGTCAGTCATCCAGCCAGAGGCATTCGATTCAATCTTGAACCACGTGCATCCAACTGAACCACGACTAGGTATCGAATTCGAAAAATGTCTGGGCGTGGTATCGAATGCCTCTGGCCAAGAGACCTATGTCAACGGGTTCAGAATCCTGGTCGAATGGCTCGACAAAGTGTGGCTGATGGAGCTGTTGTGGCCGCCTGTGGTGGCCCTGCTGCCCACGGCCACCACGGTAATGGAAGTCTCGGTTGCATGCACCGAGCGGATTGCGACCCGCGCGTCCTCTGCGTGGCCTTGAATGATCTGCCTCGTAGTGGTCCACTGCAGGAGCGAATTCAGGCTAGTGAAGATTTGTTATGAACAAGTACGGTGCGGCGAGAGGTATGCAAACTGCTTGATAATCAGAGCTCGAACCTGCTGTTCAGGGCTGAGCTGAATATGTGGTATAACAATGATGCAAGGCTGGGCTGACCAAGCCTAGAAAGAAAAGAAAGGAAATTATATTCGGCAATCGGCTGTCGAGTGTCAGACGAGCGGTTGTGCATAACAAAGTATCAGCTGACACAGTATCCGAATACGTAAGCAAATCGAACCAGTGAGAAAATGGCCCAAACTTCCTAATTGGTAGGGCATCTATGCGTAACACGGCTGACAGGTTGCTGCTGGCGTGACCTAGCCAGAGGGTTGCAGAGATGGGGGATTGGGGGCAGGTACTGGTCAGGCGGGATGGGGAATAGGGTTGACGACGTCAGGATGGGATGTGGGGCCCAGGGCGAGGATTAGGGATTAGGCGTGCTACACTACTTTTGGGATGGGGATTGCTGTCTGGGGTGAGGATGGGGATGGGATCCCTGTCTGAGGGATGGGGATTGCAACCTTGACCAAGGAGGGGATTGGGAGCCCTGGCCAGGGATGGGGATGGGACCCTGGTCGACAGGACGGGGATTGCAGGCTTTCGCAAGTTTAGGATGAGGTCGCTGCCATAGGATTGGGAACACAGTTGGAGGATTAGATTTGGGTGTTCTGCTGTAAAATGAGGCTGCAGGTGCAGAACTTGGAATACTGACAGGACTGCAAAACAGGCCAAGGATGGATGGTTTAGTTGTCCATAGTTGCTTACATGGAAACTCAAACAAACACAAGGAGGTTCTGCTTGCAAGTCGCGTCCCATAGCAAACCAAACTCAAAC